TGATCATGAAATGGCAGTGTATCAGCAGTAAGAGAGTAGACTTCATTTTCGAAATAATCCGCAAATAAGTCTGCTTTTTCATTGTCTGATGTTGCTGTCGTGTTGTTGTAATTCATGATGCTTGCGTAAGTTTGTTTGATCCTTTTGTTATGAAGCTTACGTACCGTTAGCCAGACCTTATCAGAATACATTTTCTTATGACATAAAGACGCCATTAACTTGTTAAAGTTGTCTTTTCTGTCATTTCTAAGTGAATTTGTTAATAAGGCTTTGGAGTTGTAATATTGATGTTTGTACATATTTTCTCCAGTCTTCTTCCATCTTCGATATGCTTGATGTTTTAGTTGAATCAAGCTCTTTGATGCTTCACTTAGTATATAGCTTCTGTTTATTGGTGTAGATGGTGGAACGGCTTCTTGTGTTGCTAACATTATACTATTGGTAATAAATGTTGCATATTCTTCTATATCTAATGCTGAATTTAAACGACGATAGTTGTTCCATAGCATCAGTTGTTGATCTAATTTGGTTCTAAACTTTGGCCATTTTGCTGCTTTAAAGTTAAGTGATATTCTTGGAGAAGTTGGTCTTGGTTCAGCTCCAATTGAAATATCGAATGTTAATGGTTTATGTCCACTAAATGTGCCGATTGTTGGATGTGTTTCGACATTTGATATAAATGATAGAAGTGGCTGACTGCCTAGTATCCAATCTAGTTTAACTTCATAATCATTTTTTTCATATGTTGTACTATCATCGTCGACACATTCAATAAAACCTTCCTTAAGTAACTCTTGCAGCTGTCTTCCTCTGGCATTTGTCTTGGTTGATCCCATTTGAAATAATGTTGCATTAAGATCACCTACAATAATACAGTTGCTGTTGATGTTGTGTAGTTCATGGAAGATATTGATATCAATTTTAGCTGTTGGTGGAACATAAATTGAGGATATCAGTATCGATTTAAATGATTGTGTTTCAATTTGAATTGATATTATTTCGTTCTTGTGTGATGTTTTATTAATGATTTCTCGACATTTAATGTGTTGTTTAATTGCTAGTAGCACTCCACCACCAAGTTTTCCTACTCGATCATTTCTGAAGATGTTGTAACCCATCAGAGAGAACGGACGTTCACTCTTTAGATTAGTTTCATTAACAGAGATGATGTCGTATTTGGAGAATCTGGCTAGGAGTTCAGCTTTGTGTTTGATAATGGAGTTGATGTTAATATGACAAATACTAATCATCGTTAGTGTTTGCCTTGAGGTCTTTATTGTCCATTGTCGTCGAGTCTAGTGAACTGTTAGGAGAACGATTTCTTTTGGATGTTTTTGCTGTTTGTTTTTGTTTAATTGTTGGTTTCTTTGTGTTATCATTAGTTGTAATAGATGATTGTGTTAATGTTGTATTTGTAGTAGTTGGTGTTTTCGATGTTGTGTCAGAAGGTGTAGTTGTTTGTTTATTATTCTGTTTCATTGGTTTTTTTGGTAGTTGCTGCATGTTGTTGTTGCTTATTATTGTTATCATTTAATATTTGAATTTCTTCATCACTATCCGAAGTTGAATCAGATGTATCATTATTAACTAAACTTTCCACTGATGCAATAGTTTTTTCTATTTTCTTTATCTTCTGTTGCAGTGATTTGAATAATCTTTTGGTTGTCTCTTCGATGATTTTTTCCATTTTGGTGGTAAGTACATTAATTAATTCATCAAGAATATCATTATGTAAATGTTCGTGTTGACGTTGATACATACCTGGTAATGATGGAAATTCATTGACATCATGTATAGCTGGTGCTGTAGCTGTTGGTTTGCTTGTGGACGAATATTGGTTAATTAAATTTAGCATTCGTTTGTGTTGTTCTTTATAATTTGGACAATCATTAGACGTGGCTAAATGATTGCCTTTACAATTGCAGCATTTTATTGCATCATTTGCAGCAGTACATGATTCAATACGATGGTTATCACCACATCGAGAACATACTTGTTGTTTGGTTTTGCAGTACTTGGCTACATGATTGTATTGAAGACAAATGTAACATTGTACAGGCTTTGAATTTTGTGATGCAGCTTCAGCATTAAAGTGCATCGAGTCAACTTGAAGTCCTGTATGTACGAATGTGTTTCGATTATGTGCATCATTAAATGAAATTTTGATGGTTGTTGTTGGAGTATTACCATCTTTGCTTTTTAATCGAGTAACATCAATAACATCAAGACCAACTTTCTTTAATGCATCAATTATTCGATCATCTGGTACTTCTAGGTCGACTCTCTTTACGAAAGCCACCTTTTCTGTGTCCTTGACTCTTTGAATAGAGCGAGGAACATAGAGCTTTGTTGCAGCTTGACCATTAGATGAAAGTATCGATGTAAAATCATTAAGAAGACGATTAAATGAAGTAACATCACTTGCATATAGAGTAAATGTACCTGCCCGATTAAGTTGGATGTCAGACATTCTGACGTCACTAACATGTTGCTTTATCAAATCATTAAGTTGAACCTTGTTTAACTTGACTCCCTCTAGAATGAGGGGGGCTATGGTAAATTTTGATTGGCTATATTTTTCGGCCAATGGGTTCTTGCCACCGTGGACAATACCACTAGTCATCGCCGATTGTCGAGGTTGGTTATCCAGGCTTTGTTTTCGTTTCTTTGCACCGCCACCACCTCCATTTTTTGGAGGCATTTTACCAGTACACCAGAAAAAACAATAATAACAATAATAATAATAATGAACTTACTAATTAATTGCTTGAGAAATTAATTTTAACCTAAGAATTTCAGGTGAAAAATAAGAGAGAAGACGAAAAAAATCGAGATCTCGAAAATACGAATATAACAAAAAGTTAATCGAATAGACGAAAGAATGCGACTGATCGCTAGCTCGTCAAAAGGGTGAATGATGCCGGTCAAATATGACACGAAGACATAAACACAAGGAAAAAAGAAAAGACCTATCGAAATTTATTTTGATCTGAAAATAGGAAAAATTTAGATACAACAAAACTAAAGGAATAAAACAGATGTTAATAATCATTGGTCGATTTTTCACCAATATTGTTCATTATAAATGTCGCTACAGTGACGCTATGAGCTTCATCGTAAAACACAATTTATATATATTAAGAATCAGTTTATGATATGAAAAACTCAAAAATCCAAATGGGGTACAAAAAAGTGTACCCCAGGGGTACAATTTTTTTGGGGGTACAAAATGGCAAAATGGGGTACACTTGGCAGCCCTGTTCTGACTATAGTCAACAGAAAAAAGAAAAAATACGAAATAGAACGAATGGATAATTTTTTCGCTCTCTTTCTTATTCTACCCTCGAGAATGTACTGAGTTAAGGGTACCCGAAAAATTACCCTGCTACAAAATGTGTAGTAACTGGGTACTTGAAGGTACTGATCAGATACTCAATTGGGTACTATTGTATAGTATTTCTAGGTACTCTGTTACAAAACTCACATACAGTTTCGAAGAAAATAGTGCGTGTAAGCTTTAAGTTCAAGTTTTGGTGGCCCCCCCCCCCCCCCCTCTCCATTACAGACACTTAGCAACGGAGGTCCCCATTACATACTTTAGTAATTGAGAATAACAGGCATCATCCTTTCTAGTTTCTTTTTGAAAAATTGATCAAGTTATAATTTCGAAAGGCAATCAACATCATTGTTTGTGATTTGATTAATATATATATATAATAGTACGTCAAATCTTCTGTAAACATCATAGATATGTAAAACAGATTTATTTGTCAATTAATTCAATGATTATGATAATAAGAATATTGAATTACGAAAACCGAATTAGAAAAAATGAAAGATAATGAGTGAATAGCAACAGTGCAAAATAAAAATAGGGTGCTCGTCAAAAAAAAATTTCTGTTCGAAATGCGGAAACTAGAAAGGTTCTTATTCTAATTTTCGATTATCCTACAAAACAACTATCGTCTACGAGAAGTTTCTCATTTTACATATTTTGTATTAGAATATTAAGGTTTAAGGATATATAATCGTTTAAATTCATGATTATCAACAATGACTATTTTTAAACGATATTGAGTCAAACTTTTTAACCAATTTACAAATTTTTCAATTTCACTTTTTGTTCCATTACGAGTAAAATCGCCTGAATGTAGTACTATATCATCATCCGGAAGAGTGAAATCATAATTATCATGATTATCACTCTCCAAGAAAATAAAAGCAAAAATTTTTTATGATGTAAGTAGTTATCACACAATTCAATGAAATAGAAAAAAAAACAGTCACTACTAATTTCATACATTGCAACATTCTGTTTTGATTCATTCTTTTTTTACAAATGAAATAAAGCTGTAAATATTAAGATTATCATTCAGTGCACATTAGAAAGATAGGTGTATGGATGTTAATTTCTGTTTTTTTCATTAAAGTCAGAACCACACTTGCGCATCCACATCCCACACCCACATCCTGAAGATGAAGAAAAGAGTAGTTGGGTGTGGATGTGGGTGAGAAACTACCATAATGCGTTTTGGCTTAGTTGTCGAGTTTCATTATTTCATAAAGATGGCACTATAAAAATAGTCATTAGTCAGAAGAATTACCCAATGGAAAAAAATTGCTGCGCAAACT